GAATTACTTTTTGTTCTTATGCTACTCTAATGCAAGATCTTCTGGACTCTGCCTGTAACTTCTCTATCATTCTCTCCATCAGACATGCCACCTGCTAACAGTTCAGCTTGGTAGAACATCATGTGAGGGGATCATAGCCTTCAAATTTCCCAAATCCCCTAAAATGTATGGTCTGAGGCCCAGGCCTCCCAGCCCTTTTGTGGGTGGTCCCCTTCAGCCCCATAAAGGCCTGGATGTCAGGGTCTCTAAGGGACCTGACGGCCATGCCTTGGGAGGGCCCAGGGAGGTTGGGCCTCCCTAGGTAGGGCTGGGTGGAGCATTCTTTCCCAGAGGCCTTGGGGCTCCCAGAAAAGTGATCAGCAGCTCCTTCCAGGGCTGCTAATTAGGGTGGCCTAAGGGATGCACTTGGCTCAGTTTTCTGAACTTAATTAAGTGGGAATACTCAGGCAGCCTGGGAAGGCAGGATTTGGCTCCAGGCTCCTCCCAGAAAGCAGGCCTGCTCCGGCCTGGGCCCTCAGACCTCTTCTCCAATTGCAAACAGTGGCATTAAGTTGCCATCTGCTGGGAGGGTACCCAAGGTCCTCCCCTCTAGCTTCCCAATACACATAAGTCTGGCCAACCTTCCCCTGGATTGGTCCAGGTCTTTGAGATATACCAGCAGGAGGCTAGAGCCATTCCCAGTGTGCCCATCGCAGGCCCCTCCCCCAAGAGTGGCCCCTTCCTAAGCCTTCAAAGCGCGTGAAACAAGATCTTAAGGAGCCTAAGAGGTGGAGTCAAAAGAAAAGCTCCAGCTGTGAGCCTCAGGCCATCCTTGAGTGTGAGGAAGCAGAATGGGCCAGAAGCAATTTCTGTTTCCTGCCAGATGGAGCTATGGTTTCCAAAATGTAATGCCCTCAGGCTTGCCCCCACCTCTCACAGGCGCTGCTCCAATGAGGGCCATGAGTCAGCAGCGTCTCCCCCTTCTGTGCTGTAACAAACATGGGGTCAAAGTGGAATAAGACCTGCTTGCTGCCCTCATGAAGTTCAAGGTCTAGTGGGGGAACCAATATGGGAAGGTGAAGGTGTGACGGGGCTGAGGCCAGTGCCCCAAAGCACTATAGAGGATGGTGCCTCTGGTCCCATGGGAAGGAGTGCTGAGGGTTCCAGGAGACAGGTGACATGTGGGTGGGGTTGAAAATGGTTTGCCCGGTAGACAGAGGCAGTACGCTGGGCGTGAGCGAGGCAGAGACACGTAGGCGCTCAGTAAACCTTGGATGAATGAATGCTTGAAAACTAACTGTGTTATATTGAAGGAAAACACTGTTGGTAATAAATGAGTTGGTCAACAAGGTCAATGGTGTGAATGAGGGTTTTCAAAGAGAGATGAAGTGTCACAGATGGTCCCTGAGTTCTCTGAGACAGCTGTCGTCTTCTCCTCCAAGAAGCCTGTCTGCATTTTGGGTTCTGGCACGAATTGGCCATTGACTTATGCTGTTCATGTAAACCAGACATGGTCTCATTGGTGAATCATCCAAAGCAACTGTGTTTCTTTCAGTTATTTGTGGTGAGTGAGGTTTGTTTTGGCAACACCAAAAGAGAAAGAAGATGGTCCAGAAGGTTGGCTCCTCAACAGTGACCCCAGGCTGGAAAAGCTTCCAGAAACAGGGAGAGAGCAGGCGATACTGTAGGCATCCTTGAAACCTGGGGTCTGTAGAAACGGGTGTTTGTCTGGCAATGTGTCCACTCGCCTGTGTGACTTCTCTTGGCCTCAGCTTCCCCCTCTGACAGGAAGTTAGACAGAGACCCTTTGAGGACTTCCTGGCCCTATCAGGTGTCGGTGGCTCTCTGACTAGCCTGGGCTAAGAGCAGAAAGCCTGTCTTTTCTGCCTCCCCCAGGAGAGCCTCCAACTTGACCCATGGGGTGGGCAGCCTGGCTACGTGTTCTGCACCCACACATAGCAGGTATGATAAAGTCATTGGCTTTGGTAAGCAATCGTTTCCAATCCAAGTAAGGGTGCCCGACCTCCAGAGACAAATCATTGTGTGTGTGTGGGGGGGGGTCACACATGTCAAAGATAATGTTAATTTTCTTTTTATCAGAAGAAGGTAAAACATGAATCCATGTGCCTTTAAGGAATAAAGGCTTTTTTAGTAAATGGGAAACATGCTAAGTGGTCTGGTTTCAAAAACTAGGGGGAGGGGAAGGAAAGGCAAGGGTAAGTCTGCTAGGGGAGGAGAAAAAGATCTTTTCTGGAGCCTACGAGCAGTTGTTCTTTTTTTTTATTTTTTTTAATGTTTTTTATTTATTTCTAGGAGAGAGAGAGAGGCAGCGTGAGCAGGGGAGGGTCAGAGAGAGAGGGAGTCACAGACTGAAACAGGCTCCAGGCTCTGAGCTGGCAGTCAGCACAGAGCCCGACGTGGGGCTCGAACCCACAAACCGTGAGATCATGACCTAAGCGAAAGTCGGATGCTTAACCGACTAAGCCACCCAGGCGCCCCGAGCAGTTGTTCTTCAGCAGTGCCTTCAAGGATGTCAGAGTCCCGTCTGTGGGGTGAGACAGGGAGGCTCTGAGAGGTCTACACGGCTGGCGGAGCGACGACACGTGGAGCTCCTTCCCAAGCATCCTGGGCTGGGTAGGTAAGACCAACGCCCATTCATGGAGAAGCAGAGCTCAGCTTAGGGCACAAATAGTCCCCACCTGCCCTCACGCAGCCCTCTGAGGAACAAACACTGGATCCAAGAAAGTATCTCTCCAGGAGCCCGATCCAGCTGGTTGCATGAATTCCCTGAATGATGTTGGACCCTTTTTGCTTCTTGGCATTCCATGCCCCCGTCCTCTACTGAGAGAAGCATGTGCAGGTCCCTTCCAGCATCAGTATTCTCTGGTCCTCCTTTCTTTATTGTTCTAGGCTATTGGTAATTAGCAGGAAAGGTTGTCAGGCAGTGTGTGCCCCTCACCTCTGGTGCTAGTGGTTTATCGTAAATCCACCATCAACACGGCCCAGTGAACCTTTTCCAGTTATAGGACAGTATTACCTTGTCAGACTCAAAGAAGGCAGGGAGGTCAGAGCAGGCCACATGCTTCAGTAAACCAAGCTGGGGACGCCTGGGTGGCTCAGTTAAGCGTCCGACTCTTGATTTCATTTCAGGTCATGATCTTGTGGTTTGTGAGAACGAGCCTCGAGTAGGGTTTTGTGCTGACAGCGTGGATCTTGCTTGGGATTCCCTCTCTCCCTCTCTCTGCCCCTCCTCCCCAGTAAATCAATAAACTTAAAATAAACCGAGCTGGGAACAAACAGGCCAATATCCCAAGTGGTGTTCTCTCACAGCCTGATACGCACCGACCAAGGTCATGCTGCCTCTGCAAAGGCATCTCCAGGTGCCCGGGAGCCTGTCCATTTTAGTAATTTCTACTTGCCTGACAATTCTCTTCAGTAGCAGAGAGCCAACCTTGACCCTGGGAAGAAAAGGACCGATAAGGCTAGAAGGAGGGGAAATTCTCTGGACCTGCTAATCGGACTGTAGGCGGCCAACATGCCTTTTTGTTGGAAGACTCCAGCTCAAACAAACAGAAGGAAGGCAAAAATGTGACAACCATTCACTACCGAACTCGTGATGAGTGGATGGCTGGGGCGGGGCAGGGGTTGGTGGAGAAGAAGCACCTAGAGACTCACCTGCAACCAGGGAGAAAGAAGCAGGTTCAACTGCAGCAAAGTAGAATGAATGGGCACTGGGATTCTGAGTCAGAAAACCCTTGGCTTGAGAACTGGCTCCACGACTTCCGTATGATACCGTGGGCAAAAGCACGCAATTCACAGGGACTCTCCGTCTGGACCTGGAGTAAATTGGCGACCTTTCAGAGCCTTCCGACCAAATGCCAGACTCCTCCAAACACCTGATATGCTCTTTTTTCGACCCAGTTTTAAAGAAGATAGATAGGATTTTGATGCTACTGTGACAGACAGGAAGGGAAGCATTAGTGGCAGTACCGTGGAAGCACGGAGAACCTTGTCCACTTGGGTACGGGGCGTGGAACACGGGTTTCCCACCAGCAATGAGGATCGGTAAGCTTTAGGAAGGATGGGGATTTAACAACCGAGAAAACCTGGAGAACCTACTTCGTGCTGTACGGCCGATGCGATTTTTCACAGGCTGTGGTTTTGGGTCGCCCTATGGGGCCCTCGTTGGGCTAGGGGAGGTCCCCCTAGTGCTGCTACAACCCCAAAGCTACGACTCCTGGTCTCAGACCTGGCTATTTACAAAGAGTGTTCAGTGGTGGGTGTGACCTCGACGCCACTAGGATCCCAGCTGCCCCCTGCGTCCGAGTAGCTGGGGCTGCAGGGGTAGCTGGAATCCTCGGGCCTCCGGGCACGGTCCCCAGCGCCCTAAGCGCCGTGAGTGGAAGCCGGGGGCGCCCCGCGCGGGGCGGGGCTCTGCGCTCCAGGTGCACGCCTAGCGCCCGGCCCCGCCCTTGGCTCCACCTCACCCTCAGGGCTCCGCCCCTCGCTGGGAGCCCTCCGCTCAAGCCCCGCCCCTCGCGGCTCGTCCTTCCCTTGAAGTCCCGTCCCCGATAGCCGGGTCCCCGAAGCTCCGCCCCGCCCCTTGCAGGACTTTCTTCTTAAGAAGCCCCGCCCCTCTCAGCTCCGCCCCGCCCCTCTCAGCTCCGCCCCGCCCCTCTCAGCCCCTGGCTTAGCGCTCCCGGAGGCGCGGGCGGTGGGGCCCCGCGCCTTTTGTGTCGGGCTCGGGCAGCGGCGCGCGCTCTCCCCTTCGGCGGCAGGGGGCGGAGGGACGCACCGCGCGCGCACTCCCCTCGGCCGGCGGAGGGACGCCCCCTCAGTCTCGGCTCGCGGCGGAACTCGGCCGCGCGCGTCGCCCCCCCCTTCCCCCGTCCCCCCCGCCTACCCCTCTGCGGACCCCGAGCCGCGCTCGCGCCCGCCGCGGCCCGCTCCCCGAGTCTCGGCGGGGCGCGCGCTCGCCCCCTCCCCTCCTCGGCCCGCCCTGCCCCCGGCGGCGCGCGCACACGCCGGCCCGGGCACGCGCCCGCCAAGATGGCAGGGTCCGGGGCCCAGCTGTCAGGCGCCGCCGCCGCAGCCCGGCCCCGCAGCTAGCGGCCCGGACGCCCGCCCCGAGAAGATGCGCCCCCGCTGCCCCCCGCAGCCCAGCAAGACGCGGAGCCGCCGCGCCCGGGGCCGGCTCCCCCGCTAACGCCCCGCGCCGCGCCCCCCGGCCCCGCGCGCCCGCCCTGGCAGCGACAATGAGGTGAGTCTGGCGGGCGGGCGGCGGCGGCGGCGGGGCGGCCTCGGGAGCGGCGAGGGGGCGTCGAGGAGGGCGGGCGGGGCGGGGGCGGCGTGCGGAGGGGGCGGGGGGCACCTGCGGGGCCGGGGTGGGCGCCGGGGGCCCGGCCGGAGGGCAGGTGTGGCGCCGCCGGGCCGCAGCGGCTCGGCCTCCTCTCCCGGGCGGCCCCCCTGGGCGCCCCTCGGCCGCGCTCCCGGGCGAGGCGGTCGTGTCCTTCAGCCAGTCCCCGCCTTCGGCCCTTTTCCTTGTCTTCGGGGACGAGCAGGACCCCCAACCACCCCTTCCTCACCGATCGCCCAGCCAGGGCTCTGCTGGGTGTCGGGCGGAGAACTGGAACACAGCCGGCGCCCACGAGCCGGGAATTCCTTCTCCCGAGGTAACCCAACCCCGACTTGTAGGGGGTAATCACTTCCTTGCCGTTTTTGTGTGTAATTTTACCTTCTGAGCACAAATCGCATACCACCTATGGTGTCCCTAGTTTTCATCTTGCTTGTTCAGTGAACTTGACGAAAACCAAACAATACATGTTCTTTTGTGTCTGGCTGCCTTCACTCAAGTTGCTGAGATTCATCCATTTTTTTTTGCGTATGTAGTGTTCTGTTGTACGACTATACCACAGGGTGTCCGTCCCACTGTTGGTAGACGTTTCGATTATTTCCACCTTTTGGCTATTGGGAATACTCTTATATGCCTCCTGGCGCACCCGTTTCTGTTGGGTATACACCTAGCCGTGGAATTTCTAGGTCAAAAGATATAGGCAGGGCTTCAAATTTACTAGATGATACCGAGTTTCCGAAGTGTTTGACCGATTTACGGTGGTACCAGCAAGTGTAGGAGAGTTCTTGAGCTCCACATCCTTGTCAGCACTGGGGATTGTCGCTCTTAAACTTTAGCCATGTGGGTGAGTGTGCAGTGGTATCAGGTTGTGCTTTTAAATTGTAGTTTCTTGCCAGCTGATGAGGGTGAACATCTGTTCATGTTTATTTGGTATCCTCTTTTACAATGTGCCTGTTCAGATGTTTTGCCCGGTTTTCTTTGGGGCTTACGTGCCTTTTCTCCCCTAATTTGTAATTCTGTCCCAAAGTTTCTGTCCCAAGATAGTTTCTTATAACATCTTGCAGAAATCGTAGGATTTTGCTTTTCAAATTAAGATCTAGAGTCCACTTGGAATTGGTTTTTGTGTAACTCTGTGTGTGTGTGTGTGTGTGTGTGTGTATGTAACTTGTGGAATTGACTTTTTTCTGGAAAAGAGGTTACATTTCATTTTTACCAGCACCATTTATTCATCGTTGATTGTCAAAAAGGTCATCCTTTCCCCATAGCTCTTCGGTGACTTCTTTGTCACCTTCCAGTCTTCCATTTAGGGCCATTTCTTCACCTGAAAACTACTCTTTAGCTTTCCTTTAATGCAGGTCTGGGGTGACAGATTCTTACAGTGCGTGTTTGCAAATGTCATTATTTACCCGCATTAAAAAGAAGCACAACAGCTTGATTGAGATACAATTCACACACCATAAAATTTGCTCATTTAAAATACGAGTCAGTCAGGGGCGCCTGGGTGGCTTAGTCTGTTAAGTGTCCGATTCTTGATTTCTGCTCAGGTCATGATCTCACAGTTCATGAGATTGACCCCCAAGTCAGGCTCTGCACTTACAGTGCCTAGCCTGCTTGGGATTCTCTTTTGTGTGCTCTCCCTCTCTCTCTCTCAAAATAAATAAATAAACTTTTAAAACAAGTGTACAGTTCAGTGGTTTTTAGTGTTTTCACAGAATTCCACAACTGTTACCACCATCTAATTTTATTTATTTTTTAATGTTTATTTTTGAGACAGAGTGCAGGAGATGGGCAGAGGCGGGGGTACGGGCAGAGAGAGAAAGAGGGACAGAAGATCCAAAGCGGACTCTGCACTAACAGCAGTTAGCCCAATGCGGGGCTCAAACCCATGAACCGAGATATCTTGACCTGAGCCAAAGTCAGAGCCTAAATCAGCTGAGCCACCCAGGCACCCTGGCCACAATCTAACTGTAGAACACTTTCCTCCATCAAGAAGGGTCTTTTCAGTACTTAGAGAAATCTTGGTTTGCCATTGTTTTCTTTTAGCATTTCAAAGTTATTTCATTATCTCTGACTTGGATTGATGGTTGAGAAGCCACGTGTCAGTCTGCCATTCCTTTGAAGGTAGTATTTTTCTCCAGATACTTTTAAAATGTTCTTTTTGTCTTTCGTTTTCAGCAATTTCTCATTGCTGTCCCTGGTATGATTTTTTTTTTTTTTTTTTAATTATAATTGGAGCGCTTAGGGCTTCTTGAACCCATGGCCCAGCATCTTTAGTTTTGGAAGCTATCAGCCATTGATACTTCAGATATTCCTTCTGCTCCATTCTGTCTTACCTTTCTTTCCGGGGCTGCAATTATACGTGTTAGATCACTCACCGGAACTTCTATCTCTTAACTTTTCTTTTGTTTTCTTTCTGACTCTCTGTCCTTCATTCTGGATAGCCCCTTACTTTTTCTCTTCTGCCATAAACGATCATCTATTAAACCTGTCAATTGAGGTTTTTGGTTTCATTTTTCTTTACACCCAATGTGAGGCCCAAACTCAGTGACCCTGAGATCAAGAGTTCCATGCTCTACTGACCTAGCCAGCTGGGCACCCCTCAGTTGAGCTTTTCATTTCAGTTCTGTATTTTTCGATTCTTTAATTTCCATCTGCTTTGCTTTTTATGGTTTACCGTTATCTGCCAAAATTATCAATCTTGTTTTTTATCTCCCTGAATATGGTGTGCCTAATTATCTTAAAGCTTGTCTGATTATGGCACTGCATGTAAGTCATTTCCAATGTCTGTTTTTTCTTGGTTTTCATTCATTCTGTCTTATCTCCTTATGTGCCTAGTTTCTGTTGTTATCCTTTTGTAATTTTGTGCTGGACATTGAACTTGCATAATTGTAGAACTAATTTGAGATCTAAGATGACGGTTTCCTCTGCCACAGATAATTCACATTTGCTTTTGTCAGGCAAATGGGCGCTTAGGATCTGGACTCACTTCAGGGCCATCTTAGGGACCGAGCTGTTTCTCCACTGAGCTGCAGTCCCTGTGAGGGCCTGCCTGTTTGGTCAACCTGTACTCCTAGGGTTCATTTCTTCACCAGCACCTTCACCTCTTAAGCCAACTCCAAGCTTTTAGCATTCCCTTTATTTTATTTATGGCAGAGAGCAAGGGAGACACAGAATCTGAAGCAGCTCCAGGCTCTGAGCTGTCAGCACAGAGCCCCACGTGGGGCTCGATCTCAAAGACCTCGAGATCATGACCTGAGCTGAAGTTGGACACTCAACCGACTAAGCCACCCAGGGTCCCCTTAGCGTTCCCTTTAGAATTGGCAAACACCCCCCAGAGAAAGTAGCCCTAAATGCTGAGTTTACCTCCCTGAGTCTCTGCTGTGTCTTCTTCCCTTAGGCCTCCAAGGGGATATTTAGTGTATTTTTTTGCCTGTGTTTCTGGTTCTTTTCGGCATGAGATTGTTCTAATTTACTTGGTCCCCAGTTACTGGCAGGAAAAGCCCTTCATGCATGCACGATAGAGGCAGTTTGAGTCCGTATTCAGTTCTGCAGGAGACTCAAGCTAGCAGGCTACCGAAGCTGGAGAGAATGAGAACAGCGATTTTCTTGTGTTATGTCGACTACATTAAATTGTCGTGGTTTGTGAAATGCTCTTAGAATCAAGATCATCTCGGGAATGAATTTTTTTATTTCCTCTTCATATATAATTAATTGAAAAAATGGTAGTTTAGTTCAGATCATTACTGTGATGCAAAGGATTTTGGAAGCAGCTGCTTCCCTCTCTTTTTTCCATATTTCTTCCTTTCTCCTGTTTTGATTTTCTTGTCTATTTGGTAAAAATTACCCTTTATCTGCTTCTCTTGAGTAGAACACTTAATCTTCTGATCAACAGCATCATAAGAGTATTCTCTGATCCTGTTCTTTTGGATCAACTGTAAAAAGGCACAACTGTAGAAATGAAAGTTTGTAAGTGGCTTTTCCAAAATGAAGCGTTCAGTTATTCTTTTTTTTTCTTAAGTTGTCTGTGTTTTGCACAGATCTGTTAAAATGCTGCTGACAGTTTACCATGGCTCTCTGTCACAGACTGTTTTTATAGTTAAGCACTGATTCATGTTTGTTGACATGTACCTCAAGAATTTGGCTTTTGCAGAAGGGCCTAAATGAGTCAAGAGGGTCTATTCATTGCCTCTCTTGTCAGCTCAGACAAATGATTGGCATAGTTGTAAACAACTTGGTTCATCCGTGAAAAACACTTTACTTTTTCAATTTACTTTTACTTTGTTCAATCCTGAGTTTTTTCAGTGGAAATAACACGTGATTTTTCTTGCTAGATAATCTCCTGAGAGTGTAGAGATGTGATCTGTTCATAAAGGTCTGCCAGGTAGTCTCCAAACCATCCCTTTTAAGAAGTGTCTAGGGGCGCCTGGGTGGCTCAGTTGGTTGAGCGCCCGACTCTTGATTTCAGCTCAGGTCATGATTGTCACGATCTCACTGCTCACGGGGTTCGAGTCCCGGACAGCATGGAGCCTGCTTGGGATTCTCTCTCTTCCTCTCTCTGCACACCCCATCAAAATAAATGAAAAACATTTTAAAAATATTTTTTAAAAAGTGCTTTCAGCCATAGGGCTGGAGATGCATTCTCATGAATAAACTGAACATTTGACACACATATTATTCACAAATTTTAGGGAAACAGTCCAATTGAATCAAATTTCTCAGATAATTAAGGCTGTACCTGAGTGGTTTTTTTTAAATTTTATTTTATAGGCTACTGCCTGAATTCTCTCCTTTTCTTAACAGACTTTATATATTTTCATGTCTTCATCCAGAGTCCGTTTTTGAGGGCTTAGTGTTGCCTGGCATTGGATTTTTTTTTTTTGCTTGGCATTAGATCTTACGGGCACGCA